CTTCCCCCCGCATCCCACCCCGCCCCTGTGGTTTCGTTGTTGTGGTGGGCTCTGCACTCCCTTAGCTGAGGCTTTGGTTGGCCTGAGTTGGAATGCGCAACACGTCTTGTAACACAAGGATCTGTTGTTACGATTAGTCACTCAACTACTGTTACGTGGAACTTTAAGAGCACTTGTTCCGATCTTCTCCACCACCAATCATGTCTACAATTGCATCTTCTATTTTCGTTCGGCCCGCATCCGCCGTTCTTGAAGTTCTTATGTGTTACTCCTTACTTTCCTTCTTGCTGTGGCAACGGGTGCTACTGCTCATGATTTTATGCTGCTCTGACGCGAGTCGACAATCAGATCATCTTTGACATCATGCTCAACATCATCGTTGTTGTCGTCATTTTCATCATCAGTACCATCGGAAGTAGCTGCCGCCAGCACCATCGCCATACAACTCTCATAATTAAGCAGGAAACTGCTGCGCAGATTGCCGCTTTCTGCACAGGGCAGGTGTGGGGTACCAGAGGGATACTGTTGTTTAGGAATACGTATTGCTGAGGCCTTGATCTGAGACTACAGGCAAGGCTACCTTGACAGAAATGACTTTCATCGTTGGAGTTGGAGAAATCATCTCTCGGAGTATCTGCGCAAAGGGTCGCAAGAATTCAGAATGAAAGCTTCTGCCGATATACATATGCTGTCTCCTCGGAACTTCAAAACCTAACGTTAAACCTGGATCATACAACAGAAGCTGAAACGTAGGAGGCTTGGTGGCGCTATCGCAGCGATATCGATATAAATATATATATATGTGTATATATATATATAAGAAGAACCATTCTTGCCATGGCCTCAGGATGTGCTGGCACTATGCATGAAAAGTCTACACAGCGCAAGCAGGAAACCGAGGAAGCTGGCATGTCTGACGTGTCCGGGTCAAACTTGAGGTGCTGCGCCTCACTTTTTGAAGAATCAGCAACTTTCCGGACATTACACATCTACTGACGAGTGGTTGAAAGGCATCACTCGGACCGCTTGCAAATCACTTGCACTCGTACCCTCGCTACGTTTTGTTTTGTGGGGATTGTTCACGCTAAGACAAAGAACACAAGAACAACAATCCTGCCTCCGTCAGGTCCCGGTACGCCTTTTTCCAGTGTCCGAGACGACCTCTCACCGGCACCGTTTCGTGAGCAGCCCCCTTGCGTTCGATTCTGTGCTGTGCATGTATACCTCTATGCATATTGCGCGCACAATCAGTCAATATGTGTATGTATGTATATATATATATATGATATATGTGGTGCCACGTCGCGGTGTGTCGATGGAATGCTTCGAGGGTCGCACGATGCGCCATGCCGCGAAGGCGGTATGCCTCAGAAAACATCTCCAGGAGTGTGAAAGAACTGCAGTGGAATATGCTCCTGCATGGAGACGACCCGGTTTGATGTACACCCAGCCTTCACCATGTGGTTGTTGATTTTCAATGCCGCAGTGCCTCAGTGGAGAACAGCCACACATGCTCTCATTCAGCCGCAGTCTCCCTCAAGATTCTAAGGTTCCCCTCCACAATTAGATACCAAAAGCCCAGTGTCTTTAGTACAAAACGCTGAAGCTGCACATGCACGCGGTGAAGATGATCCCGGAAGCCCAAAACCCTCAGCCCTAAAGCCGCAAACCCTCCAAAACCCTCTTGTTCCCAGCTTCGGAAATCTTCTATCCGACTGAGGCCCCGCACACCACACCCTGAACCTGAATCATTAGCAATGCCATTCCTGAGGGTTTGGAATAGCATTACAACTCCAAGAGAATAGTAAGATAGCACCTTGCTAACATGTACGTTAAAACTGTACTGCTAAGTAGTAGAATTACTAGAATTCCAAAAAAAGTATGACTACTCCGGTAAAGAAGCAGACCCCCGTACGGGTTCCCCTGCAGTCCCGGATCGCTGCACAGGGCCGCTTCATCTTCAGCAGCAGCGCCGAGCCTAGGAGCAGCAAAACACAGAGGGGTCGCCGTTAAAATCGGGAGGTTTCATTTTGGGTAGCTCTCTAAATTGGGGGGTCGCTTTTAGGGTCCCTTTTTATAAGGGTGCCGCACTATTGGGGACCTAAAAGGGGCCCCTAATTTAGCGAACTAACCTTTTGGGTAAAAGTTGCGGGTTTAGGACTTAGGGCTTAGATAACCAGGTCGTTTCTGAAAATTTTGTGTCCCCTAAACAGTAAACCCTAAAACCTAAAGCCCGAACCCTTTCTGCAGGGTCAAGTCTCCAAAACCAGTGTAGACGTCAACGAACCCAAAAAGCTGTGGAGACTTGGGAGGACATGTGGGTCCTGGTTTAGGCCACCGGCGGGTGCAGAGCATCTGCGGATTGGAGCCCCCACTTCTCATGGCCTCTCAACGAGGGGTGCGTCTCCGGTGCGAACCAAAACATTGCATGGTGGGAAACACACAGTTTACACACCCGCACCCCCCACCCTCCACCCCCCCGGCAGCCAACACTGGAGTAGCGGAACAGCGAACAGCCCCGGATAGCATCAGCCAGCTCAAGCCGAGCAATCGCTCAGTCTTCGCAGGTGTGTGTCTTCATGCGGACCTCCGTGTACACATTGATCGCGCCGGTGAAGTCTCCAGCCTGCATGGCCACAGCCTGTGCGAAGGCACGAGCAAGAGTTGCCTGCTGGGTGAATTGACGTTGTTTCTGATACTTGTTCATGATAAGAGGGTTTGTGATAAAAACCCTGTCTTTATAAAAACCCAACCCTCTTTGGGTTTTTATAGAAGGAACTGTCTCTGTGGCTCCTGTGGCTTTCACTGCGTTCCCGGCAGCGGAGGCCAAGCCAAGGCCCCCGGCGGCGGCTTTCTCCGCGTCGTGGCGCACCTGCGCGCTGGTGTTGGCCTGAGTGCCAGCTTGGCTCCAGGGGGCTTGGGGTACGGCTTAGTTTAGGGGCTTAGGGGAAAAAAGGAAGGGGCTTCGAACCGATGAAATTTGGTCCCAGACCGGTGGGAAAAGCTGAGGCCATGCCTCGGACTCCTGGCCACACCAGCTCGGCCCGAGACAAAGTGCAGCCCACAAAGCCTGCCGTTGCGCATGGTCCTTCGGCAAGCGCTCGGTGTCGTCGAGGTCATCCGGCTTCACCTCCTGGCGAAAATCGAGGCTTGCCCCCTCCCCCTCCGTGAAAGCTTAGAGGGAGCAAAGCAAGAAGTTGGCGAAAAATTGACAGAAAGCAGCGAAGCAGAGCGGCCCTGTTCTCGGCTAGCGGCCCTTCCTTTCTCGTGAGACGCCGAGCTTCAGACTGAGGTCTGTTGGAATTGTTGAAAAGAGTCTACAACAGTCTGCATCCCCTAAAGCTCCAGGGAAAAGAGCTCTAGGAGTAGGGTACTTGGGGTGAGTATGGACTGTAAAGGGGGGAGTGCTTTGTCTGCATCTTCTACTTCGCTTCCCCAGTGAATCCTCGCTGCCTGCAGATTCTGGGGTGCAAGTTGGGGCCGCTAAGCGGCGACTTCTCAGCCCACTCACCTCTACGAAAGGCCCTGCTGCAAAGCCTTTCGTTCTCGGGCCTGGGGAAACAAACACGAGACACTGGGAGGTCGAAGTTGTATCAAAGGCCTCCTGCACTCCCTTGGAGTCTGAGCCCTGCAGGGTGAGGATACTCCTGTACCCTGCAAGCCGAAGGAGCTCTAGGAGACTCCTTAAAACACTCGCGGGGGTTTAAACAGCATTTCTCTGCCGCGATTCAAAAATAAGAATGGACAGATTGTGATGGACCCGCCGTCCATTCACGCCAGAGCTTGGCAGGTAAAGCAACTACCAGCGGAAATCACGACGTCAAGAGTCGGTCTGCAGACGATGACACGATGGTCACCAGGACTCCCACCAGGACATAGGTGCTCTTCATGACCTCAAGTGGTAACACTCAGCTGCAGAACGCATAGTACCAGCAGAATCTAAAGGTTTCTGCTAGATGTGCCAGCAAAGGACCGCTGCGGGCGTCACCCGCAAATCATTGATGAAAAAACCGATGTCGCAGCGCGACATGAAAGCCAAAAGATCCTCAAAACGGGGGAGGCTGCCACAAGTAACGAAGTTACGGAGTCAAATTCCCATGGCCTGTGACATCGAGTTGTCCCATTCGCTGACAAGCATAGAATTGGCCACCTGTGGCGACTGTTCGCACTGCCTCAGCTCGAGCTTGACAGGCGTTTTCGTGAGCTGTGATTCAACCGAGGCTCTGAGTCGTACTCGCCGCAGTCACCAGCGCATGAAACGGCATCAGCGACCTTGGGCATGGAAATTCGAGAGTAGGCTCGGGCATTTGCCTTGCGCAGCGTTGCCCTGTTGCTGTCCCCTTTCATCCAAAAGTGCAGGCAGGTCGCGTTGCAAGAAAGGGTAGCAGGCTGAACAGCATGTCCACCACGTTGCCTTGCTGCTGCTTTCTCTTTGAGCTTCAGAAGAGGGTTTAGCCGGGCTGCACGCTGCAGTGAAATTCGGTAAACTGTGCATATAACACATGCTTACCCGCATCGCCTTTGTAAGCCGCATTCCTTCCCGATTTGATGCTGCACTTTCTGATCCCGTGCTTGATGTCTTCAGACGGCAAAACAACAAGCTGCATGAGCTGCTGGTGAAAGCTGTTCACCATTGTTAAACGTAGGTTAACAACTGCGCTTGGTATACTTGCTACTTGGTAACATTCTTCCAGTTCGTACCCCTTTCTTGCTATTTCTCCCCTTGCCATTAACCGTGTAGGTATCTTTTTGTTTTAGTATTCGGTTTCTTGTTGCCGTGATTGTCGCTACTGCTGTTGTTGGTACTATTGTAATCGTCACTAAAGCCATTATGCCTTGCTGGCGCGACTCTTCTTCTGCAAACCGCTCTCCTTATTCTTTTAGCAGCGAAAGCTGTCGTTTCCTAATCTAGTTCAGGGCAACATGAAACAAGCTCAATGCAGCAATGATTCTGGCTTCAAGTTCTATGAGAAGGAAGCTGACTTTTTGTGTAGATTTTGGGAGTACTTTACTTTTTTTCCCTGGGGGCTGCTCTTCTTCTGCTGACTCTACTCACTCTTCTGTTGCCTTTGGTACCTATATCGTCTCTTCTTCGTGCGTCTGTACCCTGACTGTATAGTTCATGCCCTTCGTCCGTTGACTCCACGATTTGACGTGCATTCTGTGTTTTCATTGCGGCACGCTTACACACTGCCATGCTGCAGCGGGTTATGCGAGTCACTATAAAAAGCCCAATCTTTTGCTTTTGCCGTGCTTCCTCCCCAAACGCAGAGAGCTCGTACCACACGGACAAGCTCTAAGATTTGGTGCAGTAGCACCGACATACTCTTTTGTCCACTCTTCCCTTCAGGACGGTGGCGAACTTCTGTCTCGAGCTTCGCTCGCTGCGCTCTCGAACTGCGTAGCTCGAACGGAAAAGAACGGCTTCACAAGAGGTGCGAACGAACTAGCCACCCTCAGCGAGCCTCGAAGCCACCTCTTGCGCGCTCGCGAAGCTGTCGCGACAGGAGTGCGACCAGCTGAGCGAAAGCGCCATAACTTGTGCTGCGGCCTTCTGGCTTGTGACCAAAGGAAGAGGTGGAGGGTCGGCCTTGGCGAGCTGCCTGGCCCCGGCCGAGGGTTGTGCCGGCTTAGCCATCACCGGCCCTGGTCCAGCCTTGGGCTTTGGCGCGTGCTCCCTCTTCTGCGGGGGCCGCCATTGCTCCCGACGAGGATGCCGAACCGGTAGGCGGTGATGTAGCACTGCAGAGAACTTGCGAACTGGGCGCCGAGCTGGCCTAGCTCGCGGTGCAACCTGTGAAGTAGCCGAACTCGCCGGAGTTGATGTAGTGCACGGACCTGGCCCCTGTGCGACCGCTTTGGTTGAAGAGGCCTTTGCTGCCTGGACCTCTGACTGTTGTGGGTCCATCACGACCACTGCCTGCGGCATTGAACTGCCGGGTGATGCTCAGATGAAGCCTCTTCTCAACAGGTCTGCGAACGGAGTGTTCATAACGGGCCCACAGGTCAGGAGTGGGAGCATCTCCACCCCACGAACCGGCCATGGCTCTTTCTCCGAAGAGAAAAACGAAAAGCGCTAACTCGAACTGCACTCGGGCCTCTGCACTGCGAACACTGTGATTCGCTTCGACCCTCGCATTAGCAGTTCTCGTTACGCGAATTTGTCACTACGAACACAAGTGTTCTGCACTGCAAAGAACAGAAGATGAAGGAACGCGATGACAATAAACTAATCCCAGCAACTATCGCTCCACAGTATCCGGAAGATGGTGCTGGCAGCCATAACCTGGATCGCACAACGATTTGCAGAGTGCCACGCAGCTTTTACCGTGCCGTGATTTCATTCGCAGCTGAGGGAACCAGGTCATGGGACTGCTGCTACATTGCAAAGACGGCATCACCTTGCAAGGCCAAGCAGCTGGAATCATGCCAACTTGGAGAGCCAAGGAATACGAGCATCCGTCACACAACGTTCTCACGAAGATTTGGATCGTGTTCCACTCCTGGGCCATGCCTGTCAAAGAACGCACTTGGCCCTAAACCCCAAACCCCAAGACAACCGCACAAACCCCCATGGCTCCCACCATCGAAGGAAACATTCTCGGCGCACAGCTCTTGCATGTATTGAATCCTCGGATTCCAAACTGCATGCTTTGGATGTCTAAGTTGTCAACAACAAGCATGGTAGTTTCCACATAAGGGTCCTTAGTTTCTGAAGCTCCCTCATCACGATGCGAAGACGGCGGCCTCTCTGGGACCCTCCCTCAAGTGCGCTCTGGCCCAACGGTCCGAAAGGGGGGCTCTCATCTCACCTGACGAGGAAGATGAGAACGTGGGGAGGACAAGTCTGACAACATCTAAGCTGAAACTCCCAACACTGCCAAAGACCGAAAGCCGTAAGAATCTAAACATCATCCCAAGAGTCAGGCTTGTTCGCATGGCGCTGCAGATGTGACCCACCCGCATGCAAAGCGCACAAATGATACCAGAAGCCAGGATATAGGCAACCACACCTGTGCAGGGGTTCAGGCCCAAGGCCGTGATTTGCGGCAGGAACACAACGAACCAGGCAAATGAGTAACTAGCCAGTACATGTGTGCCACAAAGAGCTTCCAATGAACGGCTGTGTTCAGATTGCACGTGGAGGCTTGACTGATGGCAGAAGGCCTGTTGCGACCTGAGCTATTTTGTAGATGCTCCACGTTTGGAACAAACATCATCCACAGTCAACACAGAGACATCCCAGCCAAGGAACCGTTTGTACACGCAGGTAGGATTCCACAGATCGAGTCTGGCACGCAATCAGATCACTGAAACTCCCAAGTGCCAAGTCTACCTGTAACGGCACCAGCTCTGGCAGACGGCTCTCTTTAGCCGGGCGTTTTGAAAAGGCACGCGAGCGAACAGCCCTGCTGCATGGAAACACTTGGTCATGTGTCCTCGTAGATCTTTGTGGTAACCCTGGAGATCACGGAGCATATCCACAAAAGAAGCCTTGAAATTGCACCAGCACAGGCACATGCGAGATAAAATCGCAGTTGAAAATGTTAAAGAAACCGCCACTGCAGCTGAGCCTCAGGTGATTACCATGATCACGGGATATTACCAGCCAGGGCTGGGTGTATCCAAAGGCTACCTGGCGGTTACACTTCAAAAGGGCACGGCTAGCCTGCTGCCGCGACGAAGCCATGAACTCTCGCACCATGGCCAAAACACTAGGGTCGCCAAAGCAAATGAACACAGCAAGTTGCAGAGTGCGCTTGGAGTAGGCCGTCTTGCTCTCCTTCGCTAGCTCTGGTTAGCGTGGGAGCATATCAGAACTTACAATCACAGCAAAAAGACACACAACCGGCGGCACCTGCGGATAGACAGTTCTCGGAAAGTTTTGAGCAGAAGTGGTGTATAAGCAAGCCAATGACAGCACCTAGGCTCGCGAAGCATGACTGTCGGTACACTTGAAGCTGGGAATGTCCCCGCTTGCCGTTATGCAGCACAATATCAAAACTGCTCTCGACAAGACAACAGATAAGGGGAAGCTCAAAGAATCCATCGAGGAAGGAACGACCAAGGAGTCGCAAGACTCTGCTAGCCTGAGGAGCACACTTGCAACCACGGATGCGTCCAGTAGGTTTCTTGCGAGGAAGACCTCGTAGCTCTCCCAGTAGAAGCTGAAGCTGGACGCAGCCTGAGCCAATCGGGCTTAGTGTGTAAGGTTGAGAGACAAGCAGCCTAGTCGCGCGGTAGGAACATGTCAGATGTCACAGCAGGGCAGTCGTGTCAGATTGAATTCGTCTGGATGCAAGTGTTAGAGAGGCGGCGATGAGGCTGATGTACTTTGCCTGAGCTGTTCAATGATCTCACGTAGCAGCGCAAACAAGACATTTCTGCTGTGCCAAGCTTCCTGTCTTGGCTTCGTCAAGGTCCGAAGCCCCACCAGTTGACGCAACCACCACAGGCCGCCACGAAAGGACATGTTGTTTTTCGCCATCTTCACCTGAGGCGCACAAACACACATCTGGGGAGCGTATGTTCAACATTCTGGCGCTGTAGACAGCCACACACGCTCTGAACGATGGTTCCCATCCCCTCGGGTCCAATACGGCATCAGAGTCTAAACGCATCCTCATGAAGTGCCTCCTCGGCCATCTCCTCTCTCATTTGCGCGGCCAGAACTTTAGCTTGTCTGCGCCAAGCACCTGCAACATGGTGCTCGGATCCCCTCGTCGGAGGAACAGACTGTCAAGACGACGTGGATCTGAGACTAAGCGGAGCTGTAGCGCGAGTAGCGCAGAATGACAAAACGATTTGAGCTTGGGCTGGATGCTTGCCATCTGCAAGGGCAATGTTTTCGTACCAAGACCGTGACGCACTCAGGAATGCTTCGAACATGGCACATGCAGACAGTGAAGGATCAGAGGCAAGTAAGTGCATTACAGCGATTTGATAGAGATGTTTCTTCGAGTACTCTGAGACTGGTAGAATCACATCGGCAACTCCACCAAACCCGGAGAGCCTGACACCGAGTTCGGCAGAACCTGTACGGTCTTGCGTCCGGCTTGGGTCGGAATGACGGTGTCGTGCCGACTGCTGAGGGTGCTTCTCCTCATGGGCAAGATGTCTGCCAAATTCTCCGCCAAGTTCCTTAGCTCAGCCGCGGTTTAGGTGTCTTGGGTTTGGGTTTCGGCCTCTCCATCTCTTGTCCGCCAGGCTGCTCCAAAGCCCCTCCTGCGCCACGCGGACAGCTGAGCTGAAACCGTAAATGACAGTTTCACCTTGACATGACGACTACTTATACCTCGCAGAAGGCCTCCGACTCCGATGTTGGGAATCTCACTCTCCAGCGGTGATTCGCGCAAAGTCATGGCAGCTTTTGCCAGCTTCCGCGCTCGTGCTGGGTCAAAGCCTGACGCACGGCAAGTGCAGCGCAAGACCTTCTCACCGGACGGTCTGAATATGCTTTGCGCGCCCATATCCAGCTTTGAAAGTTCGCGAGGCGGATAATCAAGCTCCAAGAAGCGATTCTCACTCCGCTTGCTCGGCGTGCTGCATTTCCTCTGCAGCGACTGCTTGGTCGCAGTCTCTCACTGGGGGCGTGCAGATGCTGGGCAACTGAGCTCGGTGCGAGGCACCCTTCTGAAGCCTGCGCATGCTGTCATGTGCCATGACATGGTGAACTGCGTTCTGCAATGTCATTCCAACGCTGAACACTGAGCACTGCCGTTAGACAGCACTTGTTTTGCCAGCCCTGTTCGTGCCTGCTGTTCACGTCCCTCTCGGAGAAGTCTGACTGGGAAAGGTCCGGGCTAATGTTCAAGTCGTACACGTTCAGGTCGGGATCGCGGCGGGATGCACTCGAAACACCGCTTTCCTGCAAGTTCCAGCAAGCAGCTGGCCAACCCAGAACATGACTCGGACATCGACCGCAGGTTGCCTCCTCGGGGCAACACTGGCTCTCTTCCTTGGCTGCAGATTCGCGAAAGCAAGGCTGCAGGAGTCTAGGGCATCCGTAAATCCTGCATGGAGCCATGGGCCCTAAACTTCCTCAAAAAATTCACCTTTACTGCCAGTGACAAGTGCCGAGCTGCACTGATTGGAAGGAACTCCGGGCCCCTCGAGCCGCTTCGGTACAGACTTGACCGGTGACTGCCAACGCCGCCAACCACGCCTTCAAAGGATGTAGTGACGTAGTGGCTGCGGCTAAGGGTTAGGGGTCTAGCGTTTAAGGGGTGCTTGTGTGCGGTAGCCTGTTTCCCAATTGAACTCCCTGATACCTCCAACCCTTTGGCTCACGTCGTGTACCAGATGCCTCCCTTACCTCGCAAGGAATCAGACGTTCACTTGGTACACTCTGTCTAAGCTGAGCCTGCGGTAGGGGTCCAGAACCTTGGAGGTGATATTAGGTGCTTTCCAAGGTCGCAAGACGGTCGCTGAGCACACCGATTACGAATATTTACGGGCCAGCACTGCCTCCCCGAGCCTCCGCGCCTTCCTTATACGAATACTTATCCCAATGCTCATATGATGATCTCAGGCTTCAGGGTCCGACGCCCATGTTCAAACGCAGGACGCAAACGGTCTTTCACACACACCGGATTGAGCTCCATTTGAGTCCAAGGCTAATTCTGCAATACATGTGACTGCGAACGTTCTAAGCTGCTGATCTATGCAAAGCCATAAAGACTGAGCCCTCAAGCAGCAACATCCAAAGCTTCGCATGCAGACAAGCCGAAGTGCACCCTCGCTCTACATAATACATGAATACTAATAGTACTAATGATAATACTAATCAGAATACTGTACCTCCCTTCCTCTCGCTCCCCTCCTCTCTTTTAGGGATGTGGAGGAGTCGTCTGCTACAACTGGCGGAAAGCGCCCACTCCACGAAACAGCATTTACCGAAAGGCCCGAAAACCAAAGACTAAAACCACGTGCCTAGGACTCGACAACTCGTGGAAACGTCCGCCTCGAGTGCCTGCCGTCCATCTTGGACTAGGCAGGTGCTCTGCAAGCGGAGGTGCGACCTCAGAGTCCCATGTGCCGTATGGAAAAAACACGACGTAGCGGAGCATCATAATGACAGCCAGTGGTGTCATGATGTATCATCATCGCATCTGCGAACACATATTGACAGTAGTTCAAGAACTTCCTTGTAATGCAGAAGTTGCATGAAGTTGCCAGACTGATGAGAGGCCTTCCTCAGGCAAGTGTAGTTCGGATCTACAGTCCAACCCCTTCTCACCAGCTGCAGCTCTGCAATGGAAGAGCCAGAGCCCGTCAACAGCCCCATCAACTGAATCTCGAAAGCGACTCCGCTGCGAGACGCCGAGTTCAAGGAAGTAGGCATCAGGCAGTTGACTCAGTGCCGCTGGCCACGAGCGCTCGCATCCTCGGACCCCCCAGAAAGAAACCCAAGGCAGCTTGATGGAACGGGGAGGGCAGCGAAGCCGATTCATTGGACGGCCCTGTCTGGAGAGTAGCTGACTAGTGCCAAGGGTCTTGTCCAGCTGCAGCTTGACCTTTGGTGGTTTCATGGTTTCCAACATTTTCCCCTCTTCTCTTGCAAGAACACCCCCGCCCCCCCCGGCCTGCTCGATCAGCGCATCTGCAATGTTGTCTGCGAGCAATGACACGGAGCTGTCGTCCTGAAGAAGTCCTGAGTAGACGTCCCAAGACCACGGCGGAGGGGACCCAATCGCCGCTGCGGCTGTAGCTGCAGCCGGGAGTCGGTGAGGCTCTTCTGTTTTCGGCACGTGCGGGTGCAACATCTGAGGAGGACCTGGGATCCAACTGCCAGAGAACGAGCGGCCTTTTCGGGCCGGACGTTGGGGCTGCGTGTCAGGACCTTATAAAAAGACTCTCGACATTGTGACGAGCCTTAAGCCTTCAGCATCAGCAAAGAAGTCGTGAAGAAAGACCAGAATCGACGAGCAGGCGATTCTGCTATGCATCCCCTGGACTGTGCCCCTGTCAACACAAGCATGGCCGAAGCCACCACGCGGGGGTAGCACCATGTCAGCCAAGCCGGGCCCCCTGTGGGGGCCCCTAAGGGACACGACAGATGCTCTTCAGAGCCAGATCCCGGCTGCAGATTCGAAGAATTTGTGGCGCAAACCTCTGACAGCTCCTCCGAAATCAAAGCAAGCGCTTCGCCACTTGGCACTTGGCCTCATCCTTCAGCTCATCCCGCATGTCCACGGTGAAGGTTGGCTGTGACACCTCAGCCGAGCAGCTTCGTCCTTCGATCTTCATATTTGGAGGACCAGCCAAGAGCCCCCAAGGCCCCGAACAAACTCGATGTCGGAGTCGATCTCTTCGACCTGGAAAACACTCTCGGAACGCAACCCTTCAAGCACTTCCACATGCTCTTTCCTGGCTCGGGGCATCTTTAGCACCCGCCGGGGGGGCGTCCGCCTTCGAGGCGAGAGCCAGAAGCTTGGCGAGGTCTCAAGGACTTTCCAAGCTGTGAAGCCGTCCACAGCCTGGTTGGTCATGGCCCCCAGCCAGCGTGCGGTGCGCCCTACTATTGCTGTTTGATTACTTGGGTCTTGTGCTTCTTGCCGGGTGTCCAGTGTCTGCAACATGAGGACGACGAACTGTCTTCTACCCGTTTCGCAGCGTGCTCAGCTGAAAGGATTCGCTGCGCTCTGGGTATGGCATGAACGTGCATGTTTGGACAAATTCTACTCTGCGGGTAGGCTTGGCAAGTGGCTTCTTCAGCATGTGCTCTACTCTCTTCGAGCCCCGCAGAGACGAAATCATCTCTCCCACCAGCCCCATAACCGCGTTCCATCCAAGAAGAATGCCAAGAGAGCACCTGATCGTATCCTCAATACCAGGGATGGCAGCTTTGCTTTCAAGATCACTGACTCTACGACACCGAAAGCATCGTTTCGTCGATTGGTTGGGACTTGGGCGACTTGGGACTGTGCGAAGTCGTCGGTTTCCGAGATCCTCGCTGGTGAAACTCGCACATGGCATGGGCATCGCTGCACCTGCATCCTTTGAAGGAAGCTCTCATCAGATACGAAGACATGTCTTACCATTCCCACCCTGGTTTCGTGAGGTCCACAGGCACTTCCAATGCATGGACTGTTCTGTGTTCAGACGAAGCTTCCATGTCTCTCACGATCCGCTGGAGCGAGTCGAGGTCCCCTGGCGTAGGCGAAGAAGCCTCGGGCGGAGGTGATAGGAAGAAGCGCAAGTCAGCCTTGACGTGAAACTTGCGGGCCCAGAAACAGCGCCTCCACCCTTTCAGAGAGCTGCCTTCGAAGTTCGGCGATGCCCGGCGCTTCGGCCGTCTCCGCAGTCGCCAGGGACGTCAAGGGAATGGCCGCCTCCGAGGCCTCCATGCCCTCACGTGGCCTCAGCGCTCAAAGAGGCTCGGGTTGGACGATTTTTTTGGGACTCCCTGAAGCAAAAGCTTACGACAAATCTGCTCTGAGCTGCTCTTCTTTGGAACCACTTAGTTTCCGAAGCTCTCCCTTAAAGAAGGAGAGCTCGTGGTCAGAGAAGCCGGGCTTTGAGAGCTCCCCGGTGATGAGCCGCATCACATCGTCCTTTGCCTCGTGCACCTGAGCTCTCAGTAACTGAATCCTTCGAGCCCAACTGCAGCAAACTGCAGCCAGGCCAGCTACTTCGGAAATGACTACCGGGAATCCCGCTCAAAGGCATAGGTTGATTAAGCCTGGATCCAGAACAAGAACGGCGCAGATCTCTTACCAATGAAGCTCACAGAACGACCGAAGGGTGATGCTCGTCATGAATCCTAATCTTTCAGACGGTAAAGTTAACACCTTCACATCGAAATAGGGCATGTTACCTCAACAGCAAATGATTTCCACTATTCTTTGCATTTCTATTTTAGAAGCTTCGTGGCTAGGATATGTTGCGAACTTCTCCTAAACTGACGACAGTTGCCACACTTCGAGGCCAGCCGCAAGCTCGCGCGCGGAAGAGGCGTGTGCCACTGGCAGCTGCTCTTCCCAGCTGCCCAGTTCAATCACGAGGCGTGCAGCAGATGCCAAGAGGGCTTCCGCACCACGCCGCTGGCGGACGGTCACCAAGGTATATCCAAGCATCCTCCAACCATCCTGGCCTATGATAGAGTGATCCATCATCACCAGACACACAGCCACTTCAGCCAGGCCGAAAACATTGAAAATCTTCGGCTCTAACTGCAACTGTACTCTCTGTATCCGAGACGTGATGGAAAGAGGAAGCAGTGGTCCACACTGGCATTCTGAAGACACCATTTTGCAAGACACTGCTTGCTCTAGCTTGAGCCCTCGGTTGCGCACAGAACCGACATCAATGGTGACCACATACGCGGCACACCGGCGATAGCGTGGGCGTCCTGCCCAAATCTCCTGCTTCTTATCCTTGACTAGAGATCTCGGCAGCCTGCAGAGAAGCGCCACAATGCCACTAGGCGCCGTGGTGAGCAGGCTGTGGCCACCACCAATTCCGGCGGCAGCAAAGTACTCGCCATCAATCAGCACCAAGGGGACATCCGAGCCATCTGAGCTTCTGTATACCTCCGCTTTAGCCAACCATGCGATCCTTCTACTGAGCTCACAACTACTACACAACTACTGTAGGATTTATGAAAGGCCGAGCTGCGACAACGGTATCAGAGCGGGCTTTCTGCTGCCGAGCTTTGCTCTTCGCATCCAGCTTGGCGATTTCCGCATCTGAGAGGAAGAAGGGTATTCCGTCCACTAACACCAGGCAGCCCGGACTTGATGCACCTGACAACGTATCCAAGAAGGGGAATACAAAAGGCCATATCAGGGCACATCCGAGCTAAAACGGCACTACCGTCGACGGTGCACCGTTTACCACCTTTACTCCCTAACGATCAGCAAGCGGCTTGTGGCCGCTGCCATGTCGGCAACTGCTCGAAGAGCTCGATCTTGATGTTCCACAAGTGTGTACGGTGGACTCGTTAGAAAATGCCTTGAGGCACGAGGTCCGTAAGATTGCAGCAGCTTGCATGACTTGGCCCCTTTTTTTGGCTTCGATTGCTAGCAGAACCTCTGAAAGGGACGAGATGGGATGCGCAGATGTGGACGCACAAAGGAAGAACCAAAGCTCCGAAGGAGATCGCAAGGCCAAGGGTCCCCGGAGCCGCTCTGCGACGACCGCGTGCCACAGACTTGTAGTAGATGGGTAGGGCCAATGCCTAGTGTGGGACACACGATGGACTTTGGGGTAGAGTACAGAACTCCGAAACACACACAGCAAAATCCCTTATAAGTCGGAGGTGCAACAAGCTCCCAGCATCTTGGCAAGCTCCGCAGAGGCTTGAAGGATCTACTCAATGCCAGCGCGACGGGCTTCAGGTCCACGCCGTCCTGTGGTTTTCAGCATGTTCGCTGTTCCCTTCGTGGCATTCTTTCATAATGCCCTTTTGCCAGCGCAGACGGCCCGAATCCGCAAGCATCATTCTCAAGACGAGCCACAACTAACCATGTCGACGCTTCCCGCGAAACGGCGTCGATGGACTGCTGGGTGGACGGCACGGCCTGTGGACGCTTCGGTGCCCTGAGAAGCAAACGGAAGCCCCGTGTCCTCCGGCCTCGCGGAGCGGCTTCCGGCTCTTGGGGCCGGGGGCCTTCTCGACGAAAAGCCGGCAGTCCACCACGCCTCGGCAAAAACATCAGGGCTGCGGAGCCGCCTTTGATGATCTTCCACGCTGAGGAAGCGTCTCCGGTCGAACTTCAGCGCGGTTGAGACCAGGCTGTGGGGGTTCGCTTCCCCGTCACAGTGGCCCATCACCTACAAGGGCATCTCGACAGCACCGCCTGGACCGACGTGTCCTCCAACACGGCTCGAGCCTGTGAAGAGGCGAGGTTCTGAAGCGTAATCTCGCATCGATCCAGGACCTGCCGTGACGTCTGCAACAGAAGGACTGCAGCTACCCCTTTTCCAGATCACCCATCCCAGGCACTTTCTCACAAAAACTTGGCTCGATTTTCCTATGCGACAGAGCTTGCCTTCTCCATACTGTCGTAAACCCGCAAAACCCAAAGCCCCAAAAAAGAACTAAGCTTCAAAAGAAAAACGAATCCCTAGCCGGGGCCTGGCAGCCGGCTCCTGCTGTCCGAAGAACGAAGGCACACTGCGGCGAGGCGCCGTCAGCAAAGTCCGCCCTCACCTTGCAGTTTAGGGAACAGGGTCTTTTTGTTGAATGAATTCTTGATGGAACAGGGTTCAGGCCTTGTAAGCTTGCGTGAAGCCCTGATGGACTTCAAGCGCACTTGCTACCAGGGTTTCGGCTGCTGGAGTCTGGTGTGGCCGGTGCGAAAGAAGCAGTTGAATTCGGGAAGTCGGCAACCGATACAAAGGCCAAGGCACCCATTGTCTGCCCAAGGAGGGACCCGACGATATGTACGTGCCTTCTCCGACCTCGCAGGCTTCATGGAAGGCCTGAACTTTCTGCCTCACGTTGGAAAATCGGATGTCGGCAGCATGGAAACGGAATAAGCCACCCTAAACCGTAAACCCGGAACAGGAAATCTAATGAAGCTCGCAAGTACTGCGGCGAGCTTGCAAGTGAAGGGAAACTCACGGGACGAGACGAATGTCAGCACGATAACGACTTTGCTTCCTGATCAAGCCTCTAACCCACAACCACCCCAACCTCCGCTCGAACCTGAACCTGTTCAACACCCCAATGCCCTCAACTCTGGTTACAATTCTTCGATAACACATTCCCCTCCAAAGGACACCGCCCTAAACCCTACATCATGCCTACATCCCTCAAGCCCGTATAGGATCCCAAGAAAAGAACATAGAACCCTTATGAAGCCCTAAACTCTCAACCGTAAACCCTGAGCCCTATCCAAAAAAATCTTAAGCTATTTCCTGAAACTCCAGGGAGCCTGTGAGCTGCAGACTCCAAGGAAGCATCCCGAGCGAGCCTTGGCGACGAGAAGCACAGCTCTCAGCTGTTAGATATCTAGATCACTAGATCTGTATCTATATCTGCATCTAGATTTCTCTATCTCTATCTCTACCTCTAATATCTATCTTACAGTGGAAACTGACATACTGCATACACCTGTTCATATCTATCTCTGGCTCGAGGCCTGGCCTTGACCGCTGCCTCTCTGCTTCTGTAGCGAAAACAACACCGCTGCAAACAGCCCTGAAAGAAACCCCATAAGAAAGCGATCCCGTTTCCAAACATCCCAAAAAAAACACCACCGACACAAACTAAAGCCAATATTGCAAGACTCAAGAAACACGTCAAAAAATATAGCAAGAAATGACAAAAACTAAAACCGAAACAACTGTGTTCAGGAAGCCAAGTGCCAGAGTAGTGGAATAAAGCACTACCGAAGGACCTCCAGAAAACTGTTGTGTTGGGTTCGTTTGGTGTCTTAGTTTTAGTTTTTCTTGGATATTTTGGCTTTGGTCTTGTTGGTTCTTTTGGGTTTGGCCGCTGTGTTTTTACTGATATGGGCGGGCGGGTGTTCATGTCTGCCATATGCGCAAGGAATCCGAGCGAGGACCAGTCCAGTAACATCGTGCTGCTTACCTCCCACTTTTTGCCAGCTTCCCGATCGGCCGCATTAATCTCAGGAAACACACAAATTTATAGCATGGCTAGGTCGTGCTGCTTGCCTGCATGAGTCAGACTCGCGACTCGTCAATTAACCATCTCATATCTACCGTTCGCAAAACGCGGTTTTGTTTGACTTACTTAACCACATTTCAGATATATTTATCTATGTAGCAGTGGACAGTTTTCACGGTGCTTACATACATACATACATACATACATACATACATACTTTCACTTTCACTTTCCGCGTTGCAGAGTCCATCCTCGGCTAACGAACGTTCTGGAGGACAGGCTTTTAGCCCGGCCACGCTACACCGAAGTGCATCCTCCCCACAAGTGCCCCCGGTCCGAAAACCCAAAGAGCAAGGCACTAACACCGTCTGCAGACAAATACATACATACATACATACATACATACATAATACATACATACATCCATACACCCATGCATACATACATACATACATAAACTTAAACTTAACAACCTATACATAACCATATGTATACGGAGTTGATACCATCCTGCAAAATCATATATGAAGCTTGGTGTACACTCTAACAGATTTTCAAGCTTGGTTACAGTGAACATGCTAAATGCAAAAACTGATCACATTTTACCCCGCAAGCTAGGTGGACAGAGGATGTGCTTTTTGATTCAACTATGAAAACTGAATCCAACCCCAGAACTCCCAGATTACCTTCGCGAAGACCCAGCATTCCACAAAATGTTGCTTGTACACATAGTTATGCTCGCCGGCTCTCTTTGACCGGGACAGACTTCATAGGTCGACAGCTCTCAGGACCTTGTCTACATACACGAAAAGCTCGTACTGGAAGTATTTAACAGTTTTTTTCGAAAATACCATGCTTCATCAAAGTTTCCTAATCTATTTTTTCGGACCAAATCCTCTGAGATTTGGTGTCGAAATCTAGTCCACGTAGCTAGATGAATCCCTTCGCTGTGCTTTCCTCTCATGTGTATGCAAGTTGAAACGAAAGTTGCCCACCCTTCCTGTTCAGCGACATGGGAACAATTTTGAAAGCGCGGGTTTACCAACTCAACATTCTCACTAAAATTACAATGTTGCTTAGGTGTAACATGAAGCTGCGTCTTTGATTTCAACGGAGACAGATGCGCTAACGAAGTTCACGCATAGGTCGAGGTTTGCCATGTTCCATCAAGTGCGAATGCTTATTTACCCAAATCATGAATACTTGTATACATGTAAATATACAAACATGTATATTTGTTGGCTAATCTCCATCTCGCAAGCGAATTGGTTCCACTGCAAGATTGCTGAACAATCACATCCTAGCTGTTTCAACTGCTACGTCTTGTCAAATAAGTGTTCTGACACCCTATAGGCTGATACTGTGTGGGTCAGTTTGCAACGTCTACATAACATTTGATTCATTGGCTTGATATGTATAATATGATGTGTGTAAATATACATATATATACACACATATGAGGCAGGGACCTTTAGGTCCAATATGTCCGGTTTGTTTGCCTTCTATCAGCACTACAATGCGAATCAAAGCCCACATCACTAAAACGAACACCCCAAGAACTTATGCCCTTGTCAAACAACCGTGCCCGTCTCCACAGCCGCATTCAGAGTTTCACGAAAGAGCAGGTACAGCCCATGTTCGGCTATCCGAGACACAAGCGCCATTCAAGTTCATCTGGAAACTGTTCTTCGTCCATCGACGCGGTTCTGGATTTCGGGCACAATTTGAAACTGCTGCTTCTGCCGGTGTGGTCTGACCGCTTCTTGGTTGACGCCGGCGGACCGCACAGTGCCTGGACAAAAGAGATTACCAATCCAACAAGAGATCTGTGTGGCACCTCGCCACTCCGCACGCCAGTGTGTAGTCCGAGTGCTCTTTGCGAGAGCTGGAGGTGGATGGATGCCCACCCCATGAGCGGGCCCACGGACTGGAAGCTACTCATCACATTGCCCATGGCTCCTGGAGCTTGAACCCTCTGTGTTCTCCAACGAAAAAAGCAATCGACGGTTGGAACAAAGCCAGTTGCTCGACCCGCCTTGTAGCCGTAGACGACAATGAAATGAAGCCTTTCTTGCAGCACACCGCCATCTTGGAAGTCTTCTGAGCGCAAAGGTAGAATCTGTCCGCGCAAGTTTTGGGGTTTTTCTGCGTGATGCAATTTGATGTACGCGCAAGCTAGAGCACGTAAGTACTGCCACATAGGTATTGCCACGGCAGCCCTGTGCCAAGTAAAAAAGGATGCACATTCTCGCTTCGGAGATCCTATGGTGACGGATCTTTTGCTCATCTACACACGCGACACACCACATCGCAGGCTGCTGGATTTATCAGCCAGCATGGGAGAATCTCTGTTTCGAGCGCTCGAATCTCGGGCGCTCCTCACAAGCTCACACCAAAGACGCGAACTTCAGCTCGGAGGTGGGGACATGTTCCCTGATCCGCACTTTGATTTTAACACGCGAAGAAGACACTGTAGCAGACAAACTGAACCCCGCTCCTATGGTGAACAGAACCGATATTCTGGATAGATATCATTGATGTGAGGGCATGTGCTTATGTTATGTGTCAAAAGCCGTCGGTTTTCGTGTGGAGTTTGTCATTACCAACAGACTTGTTTGTTATTCAGCTTTGGTATCTTGCATAACCAGCTATCTCGACTCCGAGTA